TGTGATTATTGAACCTGTAGTTCAATATCCTCAAATTCATTTAAATTTTTCTCTGAGCTCAACTATTGTAGACTGTGAATTACTTCCCAATCTTTAGGTACTGATACAATACATAACAAATGTGCTTCTTGTACTTGTTACTTTGGATCGTTTCTGTACATCGTCAACGTCGACGAATATACACAGTTGGAGTTCAACGCAAGTGGCTCGACAAGCTATTATTGCCACTGCATCTGTGCTTCCCATCGGACTCAGTCCGATTCTGGTCATCTGGTATATCAACACTGTTTATGGTTTCAACCTTTGTTTGACATATGGTGATGTTGACGCTGAAATAATAGTCGACATTGAAGCAAATTTTCATAGATTGTCTTCCATCATGTGTGATGGTCATCAAGGGTCTACTGACCATTCTGGATATTCGGACACAAAAAAAAACGTGTGGCACCTGTCGCTGTTGATGTCACGCGACAACGGCGCATCGAAATGCAACTAGCACAAGTATTATTGTGCCAAGCCGGCGCTTATCTCCTATTTTATCTACCACTCGGAACTACTAGCACATTGCTTGTGCTCAATACCGTCGCTTTGGCGCATCTGACCGGCTTTATCTATGGGTTGACTTGTCTGTGGTACCAATGTTTCTCTTTGGCACCGTTTTTTTTATACACTCTCTCGGCCGGTGTGTACAGACGGGAACTAAGACGTATGATATTTAGAAGTAAAGACTTCTTCCATAGAAATCAAACAACAATGAACACCATCACCACGAATTCCGGTGCTGGAAATCGCACAGCTATTGTTCAATAAGTAGAAACACTGCTGACAAAAACCTTTGACTTTTCCCATATATACCAAAGACAGCACCGCATTAAAAACTAATCGAAATGAATCACTCCTATTCTCCTTATACTATTGATTATCTTCATGTAAAGAAATTTAAATATTTTATTTTCATTGAAAAATGTAGTTATGCAATTTTTAGTTTTACCTATGGTGTTGTTTTCTTTATGTTTATTATTGTTGTTTTCTGTGTAAACTTAACTTGCAATAAAAACAAATTCAAAAACTACTGGAATTTCAGTAGTTGGAAGAATTTTCAACTATTCTGATTGTAAACCATCCTATGTGAAGAACGATAAATAAATTTTTTCATTCCAATCGAAAGGAAAACATTAAAACCGTAAATCTGTAAACTACTGATGCACCAGTAAATACTAGTTGACCAGTATATTGGTACTGGTGAATCTCTAACGTAGGCAAATATGTCATGGCTTGATTGTAGATTTGTCATTTGAGCTATTTGGAATTATTTTAATCACTCTAAAGGATATATGTGAGTTCCACATTTTAGCCCCGAAGGTACTGTGCTAACAAGCTTTTGCTCATCATTGATTTAACTGGCAAAGAAGACTGTGTAAATCTCTATTATATTTAGAGTAAGTATAAAGGAACTACTATAATTCCTGATCAACTCACAAAGACTAATATTCTTTATTTTTCTAAGTTATCATTTGAACAACTATTCAAAACAACTGAAGAAATTGTAATGCTTATTGTTTTTGCTAGCTAATGTCTGTGTAGACTGCTTGGTAATGTTTGCAATAGGTAACGCCCTCTTTTATCTGTATCGTTTGAGATGGAGTAACGTAAGAAACAGCGCGCTAATTAATAAAATCTCTAATTACTGAAATGAACTACTCATTAACGTCTGTATTAGGAAGAGTGAAGGGAAGGAGGGGACTACAAATCCCGATGTTAAACTTACACTCACAGTTTTCTTCAAAAATGTATGTGAGTTCCACAAAATTGAGTAAAATAATTGTTTTTGAAAAACTTGGGTTTTCTTCTTCTAAAATAAAGAAAACTTAATGGGAAATTTTTTGTCTGAGCTGGTTACTACAACAACTGTCGTTCATGTTGTATAATTTTTTTTGTCTTCAGTTTTAGTACAGGTTGCAATCGCAAGCATTTTGTGCCATTCTACACAAAAATGGGAAAGTGTTTGTCAAGTTATATGTAGGTTATCCGAGTTGTCAATGAAAACAAGAAGGAGAAACGAATTATAAATAGATATCGATAGAACATAGATCCTTTTACAACTTGATAGGTTTATTATAGTTCGTCGATTTTCCTGATCGCATCTGAGAGAAGAACAACATTTTTAAACATCCTTTCTGTAGTATTCGGTAATGACATGTACAAGAGCAATGCATTTTTGCCTAGTAGAGGACAAAGTTGACTAGAGTAAACGATAAAAAGCTTTTGGCTCTTGTATTGATCGATATGAAAAAACTTCATTGGCAAAATAGTGCTAAAATCCCAATCGAACAACAAAGTTGCAATTTTTTATATTTTCTCTTCTCGTCGCCTCACGTCTCTTGTGTTCTGTTGTTCTCGCGCTCCCCATCTTTCTCTCTGATCATGATCAACACATTGATTATTTGGCTGTTCTATACACTTTGTTGTGCGCGTGCTTAGTTGTATTTAGGTGCAATAAAAGCTAGTCAAATCAATTGCTTCTCACAATCAACAAGCATTTTCTCCATTGCATCGATACGCCTCATAAAATTTGATGAAAAAAATCTATCATATTAATATGTTGTATTTACGCTGAAGTTGCCACGTGTTGATACAAATTAGTAACACATGAAAGTCATGAACAATTATTTTGCTCGGGTCTATAAAAAAAAATGACGGGAGAGTAATATTTTTCAGTGTCTGACAAGAAATTCATTACTATACTCAAAGCCATGCACGTACGCTTCACCATCATGGTTTGTTTCTTGCTAGCCAATGAAGTCATTGCATCAGAGTCCAGAATACTAACCGAAATCGTTGGTGGAGAAAATGCCGCGCCACAATCCAAAATACTGACTGGAATCGTTGGCGGAACCGAATAGCCTGCATCACAATGAAAAACATAATCCGATTATCACCTTCTATAAAAATAAAACTAGCTTGCTATTAGAAAGCCTTTTCTCAGAGCTCATAGTTTCTTGAACAATCTTTCGATTCTTTCCTTAGCGTTCGTTTGCCTTTCGTTTCCTTTTAGAGATATCAATTTACAGTTAATTTATTTAAAATCTAAATCAAATTTTTTGACTGAGAAATAATTTTAAATTTAATAAATTGTTTGGATGGATACTCATCATTGCTATCAGGAAAATACGTGATAATGCGATGATTTTGGTTTCACAGAAACATGAAGATCATCACATAAATGTGATGCTAGAAAAATTAAAATAACGCATTGATAATGATCTTTCGAGATTATATAAATTCATTTAATTTATATTATGTCCAAAAACCCAAACTAATGAAATGACTTTCATGTTTTCGAAATAATGATACTCATCTGATAAAAATGATCTAAAAGTAATGAAACCAATGGAGTGATTTAGGTTTTTGTCGTTATAATTGAAATCACGAAATTTTTGAAATTAACCATTTAAATGAAATGCTTATGATATTTTATTCACTGGGTGTATAATGTGATTATTGAAAATATTTTTTTTGCGTCGAATGAAAATGAAAGTTTTGCTATTGTATTGCACGGATGCTGATTACTGATCATTTTCAACTCTGAACTCATGAGATACACTTTCGCCGTAATACTGCATTCAGTGAGAAAATGCTCTTAATCTAAATGACTGAAGTCTATAATATATTTCCATGGTTGGAAAGATCAGTTTGACAAGGATTGATCTTGCTAATCATTTAGTGTTATTTTTAACATTGAAGTACATCAAATTGAAACTCAAAACGATATATTTGATCAGTATGAATGCCTTTCTAATTGATTTACTAGTCGCATACTGATTTAAAATCAAAGTAAAAAATATTATGAGATGATTTCTTCGGGCATTTCAGTTCCTTTTTACATTCGAATAGTCTAAAATGAAAATCGAAATAGAAGTGCAGCTCATATATGATTATAATTTGTTGTATTTATTTTTCTATACTTCGTAATCATGATATAACAAATTACATATGGACGACATCTGTCAGACATCGACGCACAGTGCTCTCTGTAGTAATTATTATTTCGATATGCAGATTTACAATGAACTACATATGGAAATAAATCGGTACAAATAGTTAATGTCATACTATGCATAAGTTCAGTAGTTTAATATTGGAGGTCAGCTGAATTCTCGACTGCTCTATCTATATTTTACAAAGAAATAAAAAGAACTTTACACAAGCTTCTTTTTGAATGAAACTTCAAATTCGTTTCGCACCCTTTTCTTCAATCTAAGACACCCATTTTTATACGCTAGATAGTATGATCCACATGTACACCAATCACTGATCTAGAACTATTGGATTTTCACCGTTAATATTTCAAGAAACATACTAGCGATTGGGACAATCAAAGCCGTGTCTTCTAACTAATAATAATACGTATTTTGTTGAAATTCTGTTCATTTTAAGTATAAAATAAATATAATACTTGCAATATTTTTCTGTAGATAACCAGCGTTGGCGTTTCAGTTTTACTTGCACTTGTGAACAGCATTTTATATGATTCGTAACCCTATTGATATCTGCTCAACTGTTTCTTGATTACACAGTTTATATATTGAAAGAGAAACTTTTTTTTTCATAAATAAATTAATATCGCTATGTATCGTGTAAACGATATTTTTATTTCAACCCCGTTTACATTTGCTGATGAGATATTGAATCAGTAGAAAAAATTAATTACAAAAGAAATGAATGCTCTATCTCGTTACTATTGCAATGTATATTTTATTACGATCTACACTGATAAACTGAAGAAGTTGTATTACCACCATTCAAGGTCTTCCGGGAGAGGAAACAAGCAAGAAGACAAGAGTAATTTCATAATGATTCATAGGTTTTGAATATACAAAAGATAGCTTTCAGAGTTTTCTAAAAAACAGTGAAACCTTTACTAAAGCTAAAGAATTGAATTGTGATGGGAGCGAATAGAAGAACTTCATTCATAGATATACAAATTCAGTTTTAATAAATTATTTCTTCGAGTTCCAGGCTTCGATAAGAGCTATGACAATCTCGGCGCCCGTACGTATAATCCCTGTTGTCGTGTTCATGTTATCGGAAGTTGAATTAGGAACAATTTCAGTGTTACTTGGTGTAGGAGACCAGATTTGCGTGGCGTATTGATTAGGCATTATCGACAAAGGCTGTACTGGCAATTGCAAGTCAGGAGGAAATGGAACGAGGTTCAAGTCACCATGGCCAGTGCTTTTCTTATGTTGAATAAGACTCACTTCTGTGAAAAAACTTTTCCCACATAAGTCACAAGTAAAATCAGGTTCGCCATGATTAGTGTCTCTTTGATGCTGTAGCTGATCGACATGAGAGAAAAAACCTTGAGAGCATTGCGGACATCTAAAAAAATGATTATCTCTTTCTTGATGTGCGAATAGAGCATGTTCGGTATCGAATCCATATATGCATTGAGGACAATCGAATACACGATTTCTATGTGATAATGTTGTTGAAGAAGGTAAAGTATCCATGTGATCATAGGGTTTGTTTTGTTTGAAGGACTTTTTGAAATGCTTCTCTTTTCGTTCGTGTTGTTTGAGAGCGGCTGCAGTGAAGAAGGCAACGTCACACATTGAACATTCATATAAATGTTGTTTGTCTTCTTGATGCTGTTGTAGTGCACGCTCATTGTCGAATTCTTTTGCACATTGAAAACAAGTAATCTTCGATGTTGATAAACTATTTTTTATTTCGGCGAAGCTATTGTTGCGCCTGTTACTGGTTCGCGCCAAAGATGTATGCCTCTCTGATCTGATAAACATATTCCAGTCGTAATGCATGTTAACAATAGACTTAAACGTATCTTCTGACTGTGAGTTGTTGCTTATGGTAATGATATTGAAGCCAGCTTGATGACGCAAATCAGTAAGTTTACCTAAAAACTCGACTGCATCCGAAATAAGCACGATAACGGCCGGTGGACGATGTGCTCGTTCGAATCGGTCGAGATCGAGTAAAATTTGACGATGAACGCTACCCGGTTTATGTGATGGTACATGAACGGTGCGCACGTTAGCGTGTAGTAGACTACGCTGAGTTTCTATTGAAATCGAGGCAATATCACAATAGCAAGTAAAACCAGATTCCCGCAAATTGAGCTCGAGAATCACCCGTTGACGAATACGTTGAACGATATCAAAAGCTTTTTGATTGTTCGGGACGTATACATCCTCGATATCCCAGAAAATACTCGCAGGACTTTCTGCTTGTGATACTTGCCGTCTATTAAGGTCAGCTCGTTCTGATGGCATTGGAAACAGAGGCAAAGATTGATTATTGATTGCCTTTGGCAAGGATGGATGTCGATAGCGACAGTTTTCATCTCTACACGATGTAGGCCATTTAAAGCATTTGTTTAGTTGATTGGCAGCCGTTGAACAATGACGAAATCGACATCTATCACCTTTGTTACATATGCCATTAAGAAAATGAATACAGTCAGTAAGAAATTGCATTCGACCATCCGTATCGTTGAATGTAGCTGCCATGGTTCATTAAACAATTTTGATTATTTTATTCTTGTATACACAATAAAGCAACTCGAGAGTACGACTATTTTTTAAAATGCTTTTCGCATCATATCAATGCATACTATCACGTGTTTTACTTTGATGATAAAGCAACACAAAAATGTTTTCCTCCCTATCTTTGAAATGGATTGAGTAAAAGACACTAATGTCAGTTGAAAATTATATCTGCTCGAAAGATATTCATCGATTCAGTTGTATTAAAAATCTTTTTAACAAGATATTTTTTAATTTTTGTAATAATAAAATCTAGATTTATTTCTTGTTCTCAAAAACAATATTTCATTTTATCATAACGTGCATAGAGCGCCATCTTTCAATATCAATTGAGGGATATATATGATTCCGAATTAAGATTGGTGAGTCCATATGATACCGTTCCATATCGATCTGTTTAATATCATAAAAAAAATTATTTTACAACTAAAGTTCAACCATTAACTATCCTTTATTGATTATTCCTTTAGATTGAGAACATGCTCATTTTATTTGAAACATCCGCTGGCTATGCCGTGTTTAAAGTTTGCTATTTTGTAATTTTTACTGTATTTAATTTTAATAACATTTTTTTTTCTTTTAGTTACTCGATGAAAAAAAGTTACAAGAAACACAAAACTTATACGCTGATTTCGAATCACCGGAAAGAGCAGCTAAAGTGTATGAATAACTTGACGAACGTAGTCATGTTTATTTTGAAAAATTTCCGATTCTATTTCAGTTTAAAATTGAAGCATTTCGAAAAATTCGATGATACAACAGAAGCACTTGCAGCCGCAACAGCCACTGTTGAAGGAAAGATCTGTAAACCATTGAAAAAACTACTTAAACGCCTTGTCGATCCTGATGTACAAGAACAATTACTTGTTGCTGATTCTGCACTTGGCAAAGCGATTAAAGTTTGTTTTATTGTTATCGATTCAATAATTGATAAAATGTCGATTTTTCTTTCGCTAGGAAAAATTTAATTTCGAATGTGTATGCAATAGTTCAGTACAAGATCTTATGCGTGTTATTCGTTCACAAGCGGATAGTCTTTTACAGATCGACGAAAAAGAATTAGCTGCTATGCGTATTGGCTTAGCACATAGGTATGAAATATATTTGTCGCTAGTAATTATCATATTTCTTTTTTCTTTAATAGTTTATCTCGATATAAACTGAAATTTTCACCAGATAAAGTTGATACAATGATTGTTCAAGCAATTTGTATGTATTATTTCTTTTGGTATTTTCTTTTTCTTCTATTAAATTTTTCTTTACAGCTTTATTGGATGATTTGGATAAAGAAATCAATAATTACATCATGCGATGTAAAGAATGGTATGGCTGGCATTTTCCGGAATTAGCTAAAATCGTTCAAGACAATGTTGCCTTCTGCAAGATAGTTAATCGAATAGGTTTTATCTTTTGATTTTAATATTTTTTTTTTCTAAATCTTTTTGAATATAGGTTACCGAACATCTGCCGCTGAGCTCGATCTGTCCGATATAATACCAACCGATGTCGAAACACAAGTTAAGGAAGCAGCTGAAATTTCAATGGGCACAGAAATATCCGAAGAAGACATTACAAATATTCGCCATCTATGTGACCAAGTATGTTTAGTTGAATTGGTCGAAAGAGAAAGAAAGCGAACGTCTCGTGTTCGAATCTACCAATAATCGGTGATGATGTTAGATACCGCCCCAGTCTGAACACTACATGTTGATCGGTCCCATACTGAGATTATTGGTTTTTATTGAAAAAAAATAAAGAATATCGAATTTTTTTTCTCTATTAAAAATAGGTTATTGAAATTTCCGATTATCGTGCGCAATTATTTGAGTATCTTAAAAATCGTATGATGGCTGTTGCGCCCAATTTAACTGTTCTTGTCGGTGAACTTGTTGGTGCTCGACTTATTTCACACGCGGGATCATTACTTAATCTTGCTAAACATCCATCGTCGACCGTACAAATTCTAGGTGCTGAAAAAGCTTTGTTTCGTGCAATGAAAACTAAACATGATACACCGAAATATGGTTTAATTTATCATGCATCATTGGTTGGTCAAGCATCAGCTAAACTCAAAGGAAAAGTTAGTCGAATGTTAGCTGCCAAAGCAGCTCTATCAATTCGTGTTGATGCACTTGGAGAAGATACCGAAGCATCGTTAGGAATTGAACAACGAGCAGATTTAGAGAAAAAATTCTCAGTACTTGAACAAACTGCGGTAAAAAGATCATGTTTAAATGAAAAATTTTCCTAATAAAATTTTTTCGTTATAGACAAAACGTATATCCGGTACAGGTAAAATGCAAGCTAAATTTGACAAATACCAAAAGAATTCGTATGTGTTTAAGAAATTTTTCTCTTGGCTTTTATTGTTATTATTATTATTTCTTTTACGAATATAGTGGCAACGGACAATTCAATCAAGATCAAGCTTCAACATTGCCTCATAAACGCCATTCCGACTTTGGTGGACGAGGTGGTGGTGCTAATAAGCGATTTAGAAGCGACAGCATGAATAAATCATTTGTTGTCTAATCTTGTTGTTATTCTGTTTGACCCAACGTGGTCGCACTTGTTATTTGTTGTTTTTTTCTTTGTTGCAATCAAATAGAAAACGAAAACAAACAAACAAATAAAATTCGTTATCGTTTTTTCTTCTTTTCTGATTTCATTTCAAAAATCTATATAATTCCTGACTTCTCCCTTGAAATACTTCTTCAATAGAATTTCAAGCAGTAAACGTCAGGTACAGCATATGCAAACTCTTCATTCCAAAATAACCTTGTTGTTCTCTTTCCAATAAGGTTAAAGGCATAGAAATGAGTACAAAAGAAATTTCTTTCCAATCTAAACTGTAATTTAAACATAATGTTTTATATTGATGGACAAACTCAAACATGACATCCGTCGTGCTTTCGACATAATTATAATGTACGCATTTATGCAGGAAGATGGAGCGGAAAAGAAATCTTTTTCTTTTTCTCGATGCCGTATGCATAATCATTGGATGTCTTAGAGTTTATGTTTATTTCAAGTTGCAGCCTACGATCAGCATGAGCATGTAAAGAAAGACACAACAAAAAAAAGAAACTCATTCATCTATATATCATCATCGAAAAAGAAAAACTATGAGTCTCAACCTTTTATAGAAAAAGAAAAGATCTTTTCTTCTTTTTTCTTTCTTAATGAAATGCTATTGATCAATGTAACCAATGAAATTATTTTCTTCTACAAATATTCATATACTTTTCCTATTGGATGGAATGAGAACGAGCAAGAGAAAATATATTCTCTCTCTCTCTCTCTCTCTCTCTCTCTCTCTCTTAAATTACCCCTAATTATTATCGATGAAACGAACACATAGCTGATCGTCAACCTATGGTAAAGAAAAAAGAAACCAAAGGCAGATCATTATTATCATCATCATCATCATCATCATCATCAGCCTAATCTTTAAAAAAAGAAGACAATTTACTCCCCAATTGATCGTTTTTCTTTCTTTGTATTGTATACATCAATGCATCGTCAACCGTAATTATCCAAGGGAAATTACGCTTACGCTCGTCTAACTTCATTAATTTCTTATTCATCGCTATTATTATTTCATCGTACAAATTATAACTATCGAAATTATCCAAAACGAAAAAAAAAGAAGAAAGAAATGATGCATAATGAGCCAATCCAAACACTTCCACTAACACCAACACAATCAAATGGGGCATTTCTCGATTTCACTAATCAAGAACAAGCATCATCGATAGATATTGTAAATCCAGTCAATCAGCAATATTCAAATTTTATTCATAATTCTTATCCAATACCACAAGAACAATTCTATTCATCGGCTTATTCGTATCCGTATCATATACCGTATTCATCATTAACTATTGATTCGAATATTGACGATAAGCCTCATTATGATAATCCACCGAAATTAACAATAAAAGGAAAAAAAATTCGTAAACCAAGAACGATCTATTCGAGTATGCAATTGCAAGTGCTTAATAAACGTTTTCAACGTACACAATATCTGGCACTACCCGAACGTGCTGAATTAGCTGCATCGCTTGGTCTCACACAAACACAAGTAAGTAGAAAAATATTCTAATTGAAAAAAAACAAAAAAAAAAGAATTTTCTTGCGTCATTTTCTTCTAGGTGAAAATTTGGTTTCAAAATAAACGAAGTAAACAAAAAAAAGTTGTTAAAAATGTTAGTCATCATTCGTCGTCGCCTTCTTCCGAACCCTCTAACCCGAATTTATCACCACATCATCGTGCATCACGATCGATAAACAATAAATCTACTGATTCTATGTTTTTAGTAAAACCCGAACAACATCAACCAATATCAGCACCTTCATCAGCCAATTCAAATTCATTTATGATTGACGCTACATCATCATCATCACACGGACACGTGATGGACTATGCAAACCATCCAAATAGCTTTTGGTCTTTGCCACGATCGCTGCCACCTCCGTATTCCACTAGTTAGATGAAAACAAAATCTGAACCACTGAACAAATAGTTGTGAAATGTTCTTTCGATGTTTTCTTTTCTGTCTATGTGTATTTATATGCAGCACAAAAAATAAAATAAACAAAAAGATCTTTTGCTTAACGTTATAATTATTAGCAAAATCTAAGAAACATAAAAGTAGACAACCAATGAATAGAATAACCCTCGTATTTCTTTTGTAAAGAAATAAAATACAAGAGCACTTCCTAGATGCACTTGCAAGTGTTTCATTGCTCGCAAGAAAGAATGACAATATTGAGTATTCAGCAACTGTCGACAAAAAACAAATCCAGATATAGCTAAAGATACATGTAACCAATCAAGTGTAATTTCATCACCTTCAAAGGACGAAGCTGTGTTTATGATCACTCTATCCATATATACACTTTTTCATGCATACATATTGCACAGTTAAAAGCCTCGCGGCATTGACGATTATTAAGTGAAGAGTGGAAAAGAAACGACAATTATCTTCTCATTTCGATACAATGTTTTTCACCTGATCTCTTCAATGAAGAGAAGGAGATGTTAATCTCTCTCTCTCTCTCTCTCTCAAGTGTAGAGAAAGAATATGTTTTTAACATGAAGACATCTGCGCTATTGCACGCGTCCAATTAAACACGATGATGTTCTTATTACAGACTTTCAGCTATGATTTCCGTTAACGTGTTGTTCTTTTTTTTTCAAATATATACTAATTAGAACTCAACATATCCCCTCCTTCCATTAGTCGGCAGGCAATTCTATAATTAGGTAGAATCGGAATATAAAAAAGAAACAGAAGAAAAATCCGTGGGCTACCGTTTTACAAAATCAAACTATTAGAAGTTTGTATTTTACTAATCGCCAGGAAAAAAAATGCTGATTATCGTTATTCTTTTGATCTTTACTTCTATCGATGCATGGATGACATCCTGAAAAAGAATAGAATTCGTCTTGTAAGCGTGTTGGTGCATAAAAGATTTATTCTTCAAGAAGATTTAAAACTATGATCGGTCACTATTGAAATTGTTTATGACAGAAAAGACAATAAAGGCTAATTGTGTCGCTCGTGATAACATGCTGGGGATAGTGACTATTACTTTTGATCAATGATTATATCGAATGAATGCAGACATATGTGTATATTGTCCACGATGGAATTCTGAGAAGAAAAGGAAGTGTTACCAACAGATTTGATTTTCTTCTTCGTTTAATAGTAAAGTGGTCGTCTTTGAATAAATTGGTCAAATTTTGGTTACGATTCTATTCGCATGTCTCTAGTCAATTAACCTTGAGAAGACCAAAGTGATGCAATTGTTGTTGCTTTATCGACCGATATTCATCACACCATGAGTTCAGCAGAGTGTGAAAAGCTACATTTATTTTGATTGAGGGGCGGGATAATACTAATCGATATCGCCTAAGGCATGTTTTTTTCTGATTATTCGCGAAGTTTGAGATGGAAACAATTATTTTTGTCACAACGTGTTATTCAACTAGAAATTCATCGTAGTCGGAAAAAAATCAATTTTAAGTAAATTCTACAGATGAACTTTTGTTTTCGTTTTCTTGAATTGCCCATGACGAACAAAATTATTAATACCATCGAAAGTGTCGCTCTCATATTTATCTCAATTTACAAGCACACGATAATTTGTAAATATGTACGTTTATCAATGAGAATAGTCCAGACTAAGGTATACTCGAATAAAAACCATACATTCTTGCTTTAATCATTCTACAATAACAACGGTGAGTAATTTGCAAACAGAAAAACCTTGAATATTGATAATATTATCAAAAATAATATCTACAACATTAACCGTATGCACATTTATAACATTTCTTTTCATGCAAAAAATGTATTTTTATTGTAATGCAAGTGAAATTCGTGATAAGTATATTTCATGTGGAATATATTGAAATCAACATCAATTAATCATTTTATGTATTGAAATTTTAAACAATAGAAATCGGTCGATAAGGTCAGTTCAAATAGAACGGATAATTCAAAAGAACTATTTTATTTTTTTGTTCCAATTAAAATCAAAACAAATCGACCCATACTTGGTATTAGAATTTTGATATAAATTTTCATTTCCTTTTTTACGTATCATCTGACATCAAGAAGAAAAAAAAATATTCGTTCTTCATCGCACAATAAACGAAGGAAATATGTGTGCGAGCGTGTATCAGTTGAGACTGAAGGCTGTATGAAGTCATGCTCGATCGATTTCAGGCTCCTACGCTGCGCATTTTTCATTCTTTTACCTTTGCGCTTGAAATCACGCCGTCAACAAGTCATTTTTTACGCGAGCCATTCACTTATTGATGATACAGTGAAGAATGACTGATAGTAAATCAGGTAAAGTACCAAAAATTGGCACTCTCGTCTATGATTCCGGTATCGATACAGCAAGTGACAAGAAACGAGCTGGTATTTTTCTATTAATTGTTTCGAAAATTCAATGTGCTCATTCGATTTTTTGAATTAGTTCTACCGGGTGGTGGAATAAGTGTAGCTGAGCGTGCACGTTTATTTGGTGCTCAGGTACCAAATGCGTCACCGTTTAAACCTTCTAAACCAACGAATCTACCAGTACAACGAATCCCACAGAACAATCGAGCAGTAAAGCCAAATGTTGCTTTTCATGATGCTAACTACGAACCATTGAAACCGAAGATTGATATTTATGAATATCCGAAACAAGAAACGTCTATGTAGAAAAAGACCTTTTTTGCATAATTTTAATCAAAAAAGAAATCCTTCTGTTTTTTATATTAGCCCGAGCTCGCAACAAGCAAACAATGATTATCGACGATTTATTCGAGCTGAAGATAGACGACGATACGATCAACAACAACCATCGAGTGATTCACGTAATCATTCAGCAGCAAACCGATCGCGTAATCACAGTCAACATTCGTCATCAGCAAGTCAACGATCAACAAATACCTATGATAGAGACCAATACGAACCCAAGAAGAAATACACTCCTGGTAAACCAAACTCGACGAAACGAATTAGACCCATTGAAACATATGCACATGAAGATGATGATTATGATGATTATGATGATTATGAAGAAGACGAAGAAGAGGAGGTGGAACAGGCTCCTTATCTTAAATTTTATAATCCCAGAATACCACCACAAAATACTACTTCTCAACCATCGAATTATTTTCAACCAATACAAGATCCTCTAGAAGCATTGATGATGGGTTCATCACAAGGATATTATCAAGAGCAACCACCTACAACAACCTCTGCTGATACGAATGATTTGCAGCCATTCGATCTTGGAAATTTAATATCTCGTATTCAACAAGATTACGCTGAAAATGTTCGACCCTACGTGTCCAGTGTGCAATTTGTTGAAACGAATCCAAGTGTAGTTAATCTTGGCTATATAACGCCAGCTGGTACTCGAAAAGGTTTTTTTCATAATTTAGTTTTTCTCTAAAAAAAATATAAACGATCTGACGGTTTATTGAAGATTATATGAGACGACCAAACGAAACATATCGCCGACTTGGATCGTCAGGAAATTATGATATTATTGATACGAACGGTCTTTATCCGTACGAAAAAATACCTCCAAAAGCAGCATATTCGACTAACCAATATTCGCCAATGGCAAGAAAAAGAGTTCAAAGACGACCCCACAATCAAGCCTCATCTTCTATTCGTATGAAAGGAAATCAAGAAAATTTTTATTTCATTTCTATTATTTAGATACTGTAGAATACGCCAGCAAAACGAGAACGCAACGTAAACCTGAGCGTAAGTACAGAATGACTCTTTTGGATAGTTTCCAATAAAAAATTGCACTCTCGTGTTGACCTTCAAAACAGGAAAAATATAAAAGTTTTACCTTGAACTGAATGAGAGAAATGTCAAAGGTTCTGATCGAACGGTAATTTTTGTTCCATTCAAATCCAGGATAAATCAATATGATTCTTTGGCGTGTATTTTACTCTAGTGTATTTAGATCGACCTCCTGCTACTACTCGGAAAGAGTCTACACCAGCTGCAACAAGCGAAGATGAAGAAGAAGAAGAAAAAGAAGAAGCGAAAGAATCATCAAAAGCAGCCGTAGCCACAGCCGCAGCCGCAGCCGTAGCAACAAAAGCAAAGAAAGCAGAAACTTCATCTGAATATGAGTCTGAAGAAGAAGAAGGAGATCATGAATCTGTGGCAAAACCTGCAACAAATTCTCCACCACAAGCATCTTCTCAGCCTGCAAATGAAGAAACTCGTGCTCCCGTAGTATCTACAGCTCCAGTAGCAGCACAGCGTATTGATACAGCTCGTCCAGCAATAGCAAATCCAACTCCAGCAAAAAAAGTTGAGAGTGAAGAAAGTGAAACCGAAGAATCGGAATCAGAATCTGAGAGCGACAGCGATGAAGATGAAAAACCCAAACCTCCACCAAATACTCGAACAACAGCCGCTGCACTACAAACCACTGCTCGAGGAGCAACCATTACACCACAAACTAATGCACGAGGGGCGCCCATTGCGTCGCAGGCCAATAATCGAGGTGCACCGATAACACAAATCGGAAGTGCTCGAGTAAATCAACAGCAACCAACTGCTGATCATTATAGCACAAATGGCCCTCCTGAAGAACGTAAGAGAGAAAACGTTTTTTTTTCAGAAAAAATTATTTTCACATTTTTTTCGAAATAGATGCCGAAGAAACTGATTCTTATAATTTTGAAAATACTAAAAAATCATTATCATTCGGTGGTAAATTAAAGTCATTCACAAATAGGTTTCGTCGCAATAAATCCTAATGAACAGTGAACATTGATTTTTACTACTGATCTCTATTTTTTCTCTCTCTCTCTCTCCGTCTCTATCTTGTCAATCTATACGATCTCCTCTGAGACGAAAAGAGGAGAATATTTTATAATTTCTATAAATATGTTGAAAACCGATTGACAATCAAATTCAGCAGATATCAAGTTTTAGTAATATTCACATAAAAAAAAACTGCTATCAAATATCTATGATCAATTATTTATTTTTCGTTTTTTATTCTAAATAAAACAAAATCTCGCCGCGGAAAAAAAACCAAAATCTAATAATATATCATTCGTTTCGAACTATTCGATTTGTTGCTGTGAATTGTATGGCATTAAATATTCCAGTCGCATGTGATGTTCTCAGAGAATTACGAAATTCCGGTGAATATTGTGATGTAACTTTACGTATGGATGATCAACAATCGTTTAAAGTTCATCGAGCTATACTTTGTTGTAAGTTTGAATTTTATGATTCACTCGAGAAATAAAAAAACAGTTCGTTTTATATTTTAATATTAAAGCATGCAGTTCATTTTTTCGAGCACTGTTTACAAATGGAATGAATGAAACAACAGATCGTATTGTTGATATTCATGATATTAAGGGTGATACAATGAATCTAATTATTGATTTTATATATACACATGAAATAACATTAAATGAAAATAATATTTATGAAATCTTGCCAGCTACTAATCAATTACAAGTCTTAGAATTATTTTCTCTATGTGAAAATTATTTGTATCAAAAACTTAGTCCGGAAAATGCCATAGGAATTCGAGAATTTGCTTCTTTTTTTTGTAAGTTGATTTTCATTTCATTAATGAAGGAAATTCAAAAACAAAAGTCCGGTTCGTTTAGATTGTAAAAACCTTAGTGAAAAAGCTGAAATCTATTTATTGTATGTAAATTCAAGTTCGTCTATTTTTCTTTTCAATTAAAATTAAAATTCTATAGAACGAATTTTATTGAAATATCGATTAAAAGTGACGAATTTCTTGAATTAGATCTCGAACAAATTATTCATATACTGAATTCCGATGAATTAAATGTTAGAAGTGAACAAGCAGTTTTCGATGCTGTCATACGGTGGATTGATTATAGACCTGATGAAAGAAAAAAAGTAGGATATAAAAAACCCTATCGGGAAAATTGCATACATTTTTCGAAAAAAATCGTGAATGCAAATTTCTAAGGCGAGGATTTCTGTGGCTCCTCATTACAGCGGTAAGTACAGATCTTGCAAACAAGGCGAATTTTGAATTGTACCGTTGTTGACTCGATGAGTTTGAACAATGATTCTTTTGACTTCGCTTGATTTACGATACTAATGCAAGAAATATTTTTTCCTCGTAATTACTTAGAAAAATAAATATTCTGATTATCTTTCATTGTTTATTTTATTGAATACTGTTTTTCTTTCGAAAAGAATATTGTCGATTTACTCAAATGTGTTCGCTTGGGTTTATTAACAACGAATTTCTTTATTGAAAAAGTCAAATGTCATCCCTATATTATTAACAATGATACGTGCAAACCATTAGTGATTGACACGTTAAAATATTTATATGAACTTGATGTTGATACTTATCAAAAGGATTTATCAGCACAAAATCCAATAGCTCGGCCACGTCTTCCACACGAAATCCTATTTGTATGTGGTGGATGGTCAGGTGGAAGTCCAACAGCAACCATTGAATTATATGATGTGAGCTGCACTTCGCGAGCAAATCTATTCATAAGATACATTTATTTAGACGCGTGCAGATAAATGGTTTCCACTACCGTTCAATGATAGATGTAGGTTTCATTGATAACACAAAATAGAATTGACTAAAAATTCGCTTTTCCAGTTCCTCGTGCATATCATGGAATCGCAACAATAAACAATTTCATTTATGTCATCGGCGGTTTTGATGGAATGGACTATTTTAATTCATGTCGAAGTTTTGATTTACAAACATTACAATGGAATGAAATCGCACCGATGTATGTCAAACGGTAATTGATTTATTCATAATTTCTACAGAATGATTTTCTTTCTTTTTTGTTGCAAAGATGTTATGTTAGTGTGGTTGTACTCAACGGATTCGTTTATGCGATGGTAATAATCTTAATTTATAGATGAAAGAAAAGAAAATGTTGAATTTTAGGGAGGTTTCGATGGGCATTCCCGACAAAATACAGCTGAAAGATATTCACCAAAATCTAATCAATGGCTTCCTATTCCACCCATGCATTCACAACGATCAGGTTAATTGTTGAAAAACTATTCTTTTATTAGATTTTTATTTTTAAAGATGCATCAGCAACTGTTCTTCAAGAAACAGATAGAATATATATTTGTGGTGGATTTAATGGGCAAGAATGTATGAATAGTGCAGAATATTTTGATCCCAAAACAAACCAATGGACCATGATTGCACCGATGCGTAATCGACGATCGGGTATTGGCGTTGTAGCCTACCATAATTCGATTTATGCAATGTTTGAAGAAGAATATTATATATTCTAAATAACGGTTCGATTCAACTTTTCTAGAGGTGGCTTTAATGGGTCAACACGAATGAATTCAGGTGAAAGATATAATCCAAGAACAAATACGTGGATGTCGATACCGGACATGTACAATCCAAGAAGTAATTTTGCTATTGAAGTATGCCACATAGGTGTTTTTCTTAGGCAATTGTTCAAATCTGAATAAATTATTTTATTTTATTAGGTAATCGATGATTATCTATTTGTAATTGGTAATATAGAATTGTTTACTTTATTGTATTTTATGAATAATTGTAATTGAATTTAGGTGGATTTAATGGTGTTACGACTATATTTAATGTTGAATGCTTCGATGATATATCTGAAGAATGGTATCAATATAATTTCATAGCTTTATAGAATATTTATTTCTATAGGTATGACGCAGCCGATATGAATATATTTCGTTCGGCCTTATCAGTTTGTATACTAGCGGGTCTTGATCATGTTCGAAATTTAATTACATTTGCAAGAAAACAATCTATCGATGAAGAAAAATCTAAAGATTCGAGTATAATTTCTCAACATACAACATCACCAACGATTATTCCTGTGGGTACTTTATCAGCTGCTGTTGGCGCTTTATCGTCGACTATTGATCTTATTACAGCAAATAACTTGTAGCTTTATATTGCATTTAATTTTTAATCATTTTTTACCGACAAATATTTTATTAAAGAAAAATTTACTTAGCGTATGGGTGTAGATGTTATCTACTATTCATCCATACCTATGGAAATCTTAGTTGGATGCATTGGACTTCCATTTTGATTCCGGAAATTTTGAATATAGAAGTTTCTATTAATATAACTTAGACGTTACTATTTTCGCATTAGATTCTGAAGATAACTGATGATGCTTGCCTAATAAACAATCGAAATCCGTTTTATACTGCTTTGAATCTAGTTTATTTTAGGTTTTAACATCCACTCGCACAGTTAAAGACGTTCGTTTCTCTCTGTTTATTGATTGAAAAATGAATAGTTACATACGAATATGAAAATGAAGAAGATCAACGTAAATGCTTAGAAAAGTACATTGTAACAATCTCAAACAAGAAATCTACAAAAGACAATTTTATTCAGTTGCCAACTACTTGATTTTCTAAAGAATATAGCGCCAAGCAGCATGTTGATCGCCCAAATCAAGAATTTCTTTCTCCGACATGTATTCATAGCCCCATCGGCGTCTATCCTCTTCACTAACTACATCAAACGTATCGGAGCTTTGCACCTCTGTATCCGGTAACACCATTGGTGCATTGATAGGTCCATATAGGCGGTCACGCCGTTTATTTTCTGCTCGAAGACCAAACAGAAGGATCACAACACTGATTAAGCCGAGTGCACAGAAACCCAGATTGATGGTATGACCAAGGATAAAACGAGGTGCATCTTGTGTACGATAGAGTTGTCCACTGATTATTCCACCTATGTTGCCTACCGATATCATGAATGCTAATGCAGTTGCTCGTTTTGTATGGGGACTCACGTTGCCTGATATAAAAGCAATACAAGTAGCTATGCATGGAGAAAGACCACCAGCTACAAGTACCACAGCTAGATACTTAACAACCAAGTTCTCAAGTGTTATCAAAATAGTATAGCCAACTATGCTAACAGATAGCCAGGCTATGATAAAGATACTTCGATGAGCATATTTATCAGACACGTAGGCCGTGATCATCGTAGTAAAAAAAGCGAATACATACGGCGGTGCACTGAGCAGTTGAGCCTGATAGGTAATAAAACCAAGATTCTGAATAATCGTTGGCGAGAAAAACGACAGCGAATAGAAAGGAACAAGTATGCTAATATAGCACAACGACCAAGCATAGACTTTCCATGTCGATAGAGCGGCGAAGACTTGTTTCCAGCTGAAATGCTCACTGGCTCCAGCACCAGCATCGGTTTGTAGTCGAGTCATGACACGATTGTATTCAGACTCGGTGAGAAATTTTGGTCGGTCAGAAGGAAAATCGTTAATAAAAAAGAAGGCTATTGCTCCAACAACTACTGTGGCGATGCCTTCAAGGTAGAATATCCAGCGCCAACCTTCTTGTCCGCCAACACCACCCATCTTAGTGATACCATAGGCGAGTACACCACCGAAAGCGCCAGCAAGGGCAGCAGCTGAGAAAAAAATACTTATACGCCACGAGAGTTCGCGTCTCTTATACCAACTCGACAGATAGAAGTTGACACCTAGTTAAAATAAATTACTTAGAAACAGATCCTAACTATTTTTTCTGAACTATACCTGGAAAGAGACCTGATTCAGCAGCACCCAAAAATAGACGACATATAAGAAGACCTGCATACGAATTTACTAAACCCATCAATGTCATCACGATGCCCCATCCCACCATGATCATTGGTATCCATCGACTAGGTCGAAGTCGTTTGAGTATTAGATTTGAGGGAATCTCAAGCACAACGTAAAGAACAAAAAACACACTCAGACATGTATTATATTGATTACTGCTCAGCTTTAGTGATACTGTTAGACCATCAAGTTTTGCCTGGCCAATATTAACTCGATCGAGAAAACTCAATAGATAGAGAAATGTCATAGTTGGAATCAAGTGCCAATCCAATTTACGCAGTAGTTTTTTGTCTCCTAGATCATCTTCTTTGTCATTGAGGAGAATAACCTTCTCGTTGTTCATGGTAGACTTTGTCTTGATATTCCACAACGAATTTTTCTTCTGAATAATAGATAGCTCGCTCATATTAATATTTATAGAATGACTGTTATTCGAAATGGATCACTCGACACTAGAAATTTTACGTACGTGTGCATGAAAACAGAAATACAACAGATATGACATCACGTAAAAATGCACGTCTGGCTATGACCATTTTATCTCGTTTGCTTTCGTGACTAATAATAATAACAACTTGAAGATGCGCGTTTTTTGTTATAATCAAGTCGTTGACACCCTCAAGTAACTAAAATAATACTGAATGCAATTATTGATACAGAATATTTTTGGTTTGGAGTAATCAGAAAAATCATCGCATGAGAATTGAATAAAGTATTTCTTTGGATTTTATCCACAGTTTGCTATTCCAACTATTTCTTGTAGTTTAATCATTTTCATATGTATTTGCCAGGTTCATGTGTAGAGGTGGTGTGGGGTATGGGTGTCAGACAGAAACTAAATATACAATAGTAAACAGGCATAGAACAGTGACCACGATGCGTTTCCCTCTTACTGAAGGGTTTGATCAATTAGATTTTGGAGAATCAAGATTGTTTACTAATTGAATCTTTTCAAATGTCAGTGCTAAGACAAAACCAAAAAAAAGAGGAATCAATGAATCAGAGTGGCCCGCTATGTTCTCAATGTAAAGAAGAGTTTCTCACGTAAGATTAGCTAAGTTCGAAATAACCGTAGCATCTCAGATTTTTCTAAAAACATAAATATAAGTATCGATAGAGCTCTGCGAGTTGAGCATGAGGATGTTCTTAGAATTCTCAAAATGATATTATTGCGTAAGGAGGTAGGGGTGAAAGGATTTGAATGTTTCTCCGTTGGTCATGTGAATCCACATACCCACAACTTCGAAAATACATGCGAATTGCATGAAATCAAAGGTTTTTTTCTCTTTTTTCCTATCAAAGCAATGTGTATCTTTATTATAGCACGAAGGATATTTGGAGAACAAGACACACAAGTGGTTACCGCGGTTGAAAACAGTCTCTTGTTTCTACAATAGCTATTAGAAATAAATATTAGATCGGATTGAGCCACCTCAACGCATCGGTAGGTAATGAATTTCAAACATTTTTCAGACACACACGCAGGTAAATAATTTATTTTACGATAGCAGGCAATAGTCTTTCTGTCTTAAAAACAGAAGTTCACACGAGTGTCAACGAATTGTCATCTATATATGCAGCAATTTTGGTACCAGAGTTGCGAGTAAATATCATCTTGTAGTCAATACTTCGTGTGCCTACAGGAAGACTATAAAGATTACTGTAATAACACCAACCTGGATTGTTGGATGTACAAATTTGATACCCTGTATCTTGTGTACCCAATACCGCATTTGTATCCGAAAGAAATGTGATTGTTACTTCAGCGTCATCGTATGGAAGCAACCAACTGTAGTAAGATTGGTAATAAAATGATATTTTAGCATGTAATGTTCCGGTATCAAGCTGTGCTGCCGAAAAGTTTTGCATTCCATTAAGCAAATTGACATTCTGCAACAGACTTGATGGGGATCCACCCGATCCAAAACCACCTGCAAAGCAGGCACTGCCGGTGTGTGGATTGTAGCCAGCAAATTCCAGACCACCCGTATCTTGAAGTACGTTAGATGAACCAGTCTGTGTCCAACCAGCTAGACCCGGTGATTCAGCACCAGGATTAACGAGAAGATTTAGTGGAACCATTGTTGTTGTAGCTATATTACATGAAATAATCAAAGGTAAAACAAATATATAAAATAATCAAGACTAACTTGTAGTCGTCGTTGTTGTCGCTGTGGTGCCTAGAATATTAGAACATAAATACATTTAAAATTATATTGGCGAACATCATAGCAGAAACCGGCGTCGGGCTTTAGCGATAGATTTTTAACTTACGATTAAATTATATTCAATTTCACTTCTTGTTTTTATTATAAATGATGCTGATATAAAATTTGGATGAACGTAATGATGCTTCGTCTATAAATGAGCGGTCCGCGAAAAATCAAACCAATCCCATGGCACGTTTGTGCTGTAGAGGTCACTATTACCTGAATTCCTTTTGCACTGTTCATTCATTTTAGCCCATTTAGCCCCATTAGTCATTTAAACACTCTTTAGCACCTCTCTCCTCGCCACCTGGTACATTAGATTCATAAACGATGATTTCTTCCACTTTCTCCTCAAAATTGAGCTAAGGAAATACGTCCTTCCATGATGTTCTACGCTACAGAGAAAACTGAGTGATTACTCATTTCCTTCAAATAAGGAATGCTCTAAAAAGCCCTGTTTATTGTTCAATACGAGTTAGTGTGTGCATATGGATGTGATTTGGTACGACTAGACATCACTTTCATTAGCATAACTACACCTCATACACTACTAATGAAAAAAGCTTGCTTGTTTATACGACACACAAATTCAATTTCACTCACTTGTCGTGCTCGTTGAGGTTGTTGCAGTAGTTGTAGTTGTAGTACTAGTTGTGCTGGTTGTACTAGTGGTAGTCGTGGTACTGGTTGTAGTTGCAGTACTAGTTGTGCTAGTTGTACTAGTTGTACTAGTTGTACTAGTTGTACTAGTTGTACTAGTCGTGCTAGTTGTGCTAGTTGTGCTTGTACTGGTACTCGTACTCGTGGTAGTAGTTGTGGTTGTTGTGGCCGATGTAGTTGCTTCATGAAAATATGCGTATCATTGTATAATTTACAAAGTAATGTGAAACACGCTATAGATATTGTTGATAATTACAAGTAGATAGCTGTATTCTATGTCTTTCAGTACATATTTCCTTATCTATCCTTTTATTTTATCCTCCAGAAATCTCGTATTTATTTCATGCATTGTAACAAACTGCTATTGGTGCAACATCTGCAATTGTATATCAATTTTTTTACGATCTATAATGTCTTCGGAAACTATTTTTTAGGGTATTTGATTACCTCTGAAGATTACTTACGACAGCTGAGGCGGAGGGGGGGGGGGGTGGGGATGGCATAAATTCATATTTGCATATACTTTAACAGGCCTATCAGATCATGTTTCACGATGTAAGAGAAAAAAAGTTTCTCACTCGTTGTTGTTGAGGCTATAAAGAAAAAGCTTTAATTATTTGTCAAACTACAATGCATGCATCTTTACTTGTCGTAGTTGTTGTCAATGTGTTTAGCAGAATACCAAGAGAAACACCGATTATCAAAGCAACGAGTAGAATGATAGCTAAAATACAGGAGCCAATCATAATTCGCCGCTTTTTCACATCGTTGATGGCTGATTCTTCGTCAAGACAGGATGAGTTTGACCTTTGGAAACAAGAAAACTGTTACAATTATCTAATACAAAGTTCAACAGACTCATATGACAATTTATTTTCATTTTTCGCATTCAATTTCTTTGATTTTTCATACAATGGAGATTGGCTAGTATTTATGTCTGTAGCCCAGACACTTTTGCCAATGTGTGGTGTATCCGGCGTTTGGAACTGATGCTGATTCCAGACGCTATTGAAGAATATAGGACTTTCTGATTGGCACTGCGATGTATCCCACGCATTATTGGAGGATTGAGTAGTAATGTCTGAATTCAGCAGAGATTCATCTAGAACTTTATTGGTGGACTGAATAACAGAAGACTGAAATTGTGGTTCAGCCCATATACTTCTGAGTGATAAGCCAGTTGCCGATTGACATTTTAACTGATCCCAATCACTTTTCAACGAAGCATTAGCCGCTTGTAGATTTGATTGAAACTTCTCGTTCGGATGAACTTTAGATGAAAATGTATGAAAATGCTGAGGACGAACGGAGGTGTTGGCAATAACATCAGACGATGGTGACAAATTCTAATTCATATATAGCGTATTGGTAATAACTGAAAATTCTTAAAAGCCTACCTCTCTAGTAGCCATACTACTACTACGCTTATTTTACAGAAAGGCACGTATGTAACTTGAATGCAGTCATCAATGAGCTATATATCAAAAACAAAACAATGAGATTAGAAGTAGATACTAAAAAAAATAATAATGAAATTTTAATTTATAAGACTTCGTAAATAATTGGATTTTGTGTTGAATTAGAATGAAACATCCTAGATGTGCCGATGAATTCAATCAACATGTTGCCACATAATTATTTACCGAACCATCTTTCGTGCGCAAGCAGCATGTATTCCTTGTAAGTTTTCCTAGCCTACCTTCTTACAATTGCATTTCAACAGGTTAGTGGTGTGCCACAAGAGAGTACGACAACAATGCAACATTACTCACTCTCATACACTTTTCTTGTATGCTGATATTTTGTTTTTAAATATATACACTGAATACGAAGAAGTTTCAAAGTTTCGGAGAAGATCATGATGGTGAACTGTTGTAAAATCGAAAGCGATCTCTTTTATTTCAAAGATTTGTAACTCATACTTTGGGGTATGGGTGATAGTTGAAAGTAAAATTTAACCGCATTGTGATACGTGAGTAGCGGCGTAATCCGGGGAAGGGCAAATGTGCGATTGCACACTTCATTTGAAGATTTGCCCTTCGTGATTTTTATCAGTAAGCTTTTGCTCATTGGAATTCTACTTTTTCAAAATTGTTTAATTGTTTTTCACCCGTCTAGATTCCACATATACTCTTTGCTGGTTCTTTTCGTGGTGCATTGAGAAAAGAAGAAAACTATATACATAAATTTATCATAGTCGTCTTGATTTTGATGTTTGAATTCGAAATGTGCATGTTATTAACGGAGACATCAAAAATTTACAAAAGCATATCTGACTCAGATTTTGATCAATGTAAAGCTCTGAAACTAGCTGAATTCATGACTTCATGTTAATAGTACCGATTTATTGTATTGATGGTAAAGGTTTTTGAAAGCTGTCATGGGCGTTTTCTTTCCCCATTCATTCATTTCTCATATTTTTCTTCTTGTTTGCGATGCTACCTATCACCCCCTAAATGGATGCTGGCCTTTATTTCTCTTTGTTAATTTTAACCTTCTTATTTGTTTTCTTTGTCTCATCTCGCTTCTATTATGCTTAATTCGTCCTGTATTTGCCTCCATATCTCTCTATTTGTTGTTGTTTCGCGTTTCAGATTATTCTTTTTTCATGGCCTTTCGCTGTATTGAATAAATGTTTGCTTTTTCTCTCTTTCAACAAACGAAAAGCCTTTAGAATATATGAATATTTTCTAATACTGAGAAAAATGATTTGACTTGGTAAGATTAATAAAATCAAGAGGATGCGAGTTTCGCTCTAAAAGTATGAGAGAAGCAATGATGACTTGATACTTTAAGAGCCTCACAAGACTAAATAAACAATTCTATTCTGGTTAGTACAAATTCACGTTATGACAAATATTGGAGTATTCATTCATTTCTATCTGAAATAAAGTTCAATGGTTATGATGCAGTTTTCGACACATATTTTTCCCTATAAACCTCGGCATGACTGCCAAATTATTTTATTAAATTAAATTCGATGGTGCTGCTCCATGAGTACGTATTCAAACATTACCTAACTGCTTTAACATGATACATAATATTTTGCTCCTTTTTTTTCTAAATATTACTTTTATATCTTAGATAGTGGTTTATGAAGTTGATATTGAACGGTTAAATACATCTATCAAAGATCATGAAGAATTATTGAAAGAAAACAAATAAAATGATGAATAAGTGCAAGAACTTTTAAATTTTTTTCTCGAAGATCTGAATGATGGTGATTGGATTTTGATTGTTACACGTATTTGCTTTCACTTAACCCATTTTAAAACAGGATCGGTATCGAGCGCAACAGCAACCAGGTTTTTGTATCTGATGCAGCTGTTATCCTCCTTTTTTTTTAACGTTATGCTCATTTGTTCTGCTTGCGTTTGTGATTTAACCTCAGTCGATGGTAACTTCCCAATTAAGATCTTTTATTGTTGTTCAGAGAATAAAAACATCAAAAATTTTACTTTCACTTTGTTTACTTTTAATCATTTCATCTACCAAATTTCGGAAGAAAACAAAGTTTCTTTTTCAAAATTCGTTGAGGGTGCACTCAGTGTGTATTTCATAACTTCTCATAAGTAAGCCAGAATGAGCTCACTTTGCTCTTTCAATTCAAATAAAAAAATCGAGTCAACATTTTCGAGGGTATGGCCATATTTTAATAGAAAAAAGAAAGAAAAACTGCATTATTTTTATTTACAATTCTAAATAAGAAAAGAAAAATGAAATAAATCCTTGTGTCAATAAAGCTTTTTTTTCTTTCAAACGTCTGTGTCTTTTTCTTTTTGTGTCGATTGCCACATTTTTTGCTACTGTTAGGTGTGGGTGTGTGTATGAGTTAAGAGAAAAAAGAAACGAAAATTCAAAAACATTGATAAATTATTATTATATGAATCAAATTTTTCTGCCAATCAACATCTGATCGGTAAAATTTTCAGACCTGAATCCAATATGAAATTTGATTGGATCGTATGAGATTCGACAAGCTGACCATTACGCAGTGTTTTTTTTATCAAAATAGTCATGTAAGATCAAAAATCTCTTATTTAGATGCATGGTGTTAATTATTTAACATTTCAACGTCCAGTAAATACAATTTTGATACAACCTACTTATGACAAAAAGAAAACATAATTGAAGATAATTCAAACATAAAAATTATAAGAAACTACTAATATGTGAATTCATCGTTTTCATGTAATCACTTGTCATATTTTATTTTATTCAAAGGTGTTGATATTAATAAAAAGAATTATTCGATAGGTATACTATAATCACAAAGCTTAGGCGAAAGAAAAATATGAGTACAGCTATCAAATTTTTAGTTAGTCTAGTCTAAATATTTCCATTTTAATTGGTTGTACGGTTTATGCAGCTGTTTTTAGTTTTTCTAGTTTTACGTTTAAAATGGCGGATTTCCTAATAACAATGCATACCTACATTTCTATGGCGATGTGATAGCTGATAGCAATACATACACTGGAAAAAAAGGAGACATAGCATCACACATAAATGCTATTGATAGATCTTACTGTTTATTGACTCGAAAATATTAGGTACTGTAAATTACATGATGCCCAACAATAGTAGCCTTGTGACAGTCAATTTCATGTCACATTTAGAAAAGCATTCGTCCCTCACGACATACAATAATATTTCGACACACAATATTCAATAACCTCTCTCGTGGTTCTAGAATTTAACATGTGACTTAAAAACTAATGACGAAAGAGTTAACTCTTGCTAAAGAAGAAGATTCATATTATCTATCTCACCGTCTTCTGATTTCGTTATCGAAATCGAATTTTTATGCATGATATTTTTAATTGTAACAAATGAAAACGTTAATAATTGTAAAATTAATAGCCATATGGATGGGAATTCGTAAGAAAATATTTCATCTTTTCGAATTTTTTTCAGTATGTAGCGCTATTATGCATTTTTATAGCTCGACCTTAATAATCATCAAAATCGAGTAATCCAGCGAAGAAAAAGACGATTGCTCCTTTAGTTCTGTATAAACAATACTGCATCATCTGAATTTATTTTCCACTTTTCATCGAAATCTCCTTTCTGTTTATTAAACTTTGTAACAGCTATACAGTCTTGGTTACCTACATGTAAACGACCATTTCTTTTTATAGATGACGTCGCTATTGCAAGTGCAGTTTTGTGTAAATTTTTGTCTCAATTGAACCGTATCGAACACAAAAATTAGTAATAAGGTGCATATAAAAATAAATAATCATCGCCATTGAAACTCCATTTACGTCATGATTTATGAATCATTCAACGATATATATAAGTTTGCGAGATTTGATAACTGTAGAGCACATCTTTTCGTTGATCACTCTTACTTGTGTCAATATTAGTGTATCCAATGAGATCGATACTACTCATCTCATTATTTTCAATTTATCTTCTTTCTGGCATTCTGACCATATCCGATGAAACCAGTTCAACACAATGTACGCAATATGGCGATCCGCCAGCTCCATCAAGTGGATCAATGCTCAATTATAATCAGATGGTTCAAGTATGTCAACAAATATTGGGACAACTGCTCACTTTTACGGATAGCAATAACGAAGCACGTTGCGCATGTCTTCTTATCACATCCACATCAAAAACACTGCCTCTAGTCGTTTGGCTTCAACCATCTGTTGTTTACCCGACATCAGTGTACAATACGAACTTCACAGTAGAAGCATTTACTGCCAAACTGACGGATACGATGAGCAGTTCGTCTGGCTATCATTTACTTATTCCAGCCGCACGAGTCACGAAAAATTTCGAATGCGATGCCATTGATTGTATTGCCTGGGATACTTGGTATCGAAACTTTAATCGTTCTGATCCGAAGATGAACGTTGATATTGAGACAATCGACTATTTCATTAATCATGTCGTCTACCAAACGTCCAATCTTCATGTCGATTACTCTCGTGTATTTCTCTCTGGTTGGAGCAATGGAGCTTCGATGGCATTGTTATATGCGCTTAATACACCCAATATTGCTGCAGCAGCAGTATATTCATCAACAAATCCTTATCGAAATGACAATGATCCGTGTCCACAAATGCCAAATCCATCGCAACGTACACCAGTACTCGATTTGGTTAATGAATGCGACTCTACTGGCATTTGCCTTGGGGGCGAAGAATTCATAGCTGACTTAAACAGTTGCTACGGAAAACAGCAGACTGCTACATTTATCACTATCAACGGGTATTTTGATCCAATGCCAACGCTGACACCGACGTGTATGAATTGCTCAGAAGCAACAGGATTGCTTAATCATGGACGATGGCCAGTAAATCTTAATAACCAGATATTCTATGCCTTTTTTCGGAACTATACATCACACTGATACTGTTCACAGGTGACACCTAAAACAAAGTATCGTAAATCTTCTCGCATCAATTATTCATTATCTTTTTCTCATCATTTTTTAAATTGTTAATTTTTCGATTTCTAATTTCGAAATACAAAGACTTTAATTAGAGTGTGTGAATATGGGTGTCGGTACCAGTCTTTTTTTTATTCCTATTTCATCCACATCCACATCCACACCCTGTTCCCTCCTTTCAAACACCATATGCAATAATCTTTATCATTTCCATCACATTAAAAACCTTCCATCTTAACCATATTTGACAATTTACTATAACATTCTTCATTAACATTGACATTAACAGTTTCTTCAGATTCAACCAATAATGATGTGTTATTTTGTACGGTTTTTCGTTTCTATTCTTTATACAAACTGGTACAACATTTACTATAAATAATCATTTCTGCCTCTAATTCACTACTACGATCTTCAAGAAGCTTATGGATTCATTGATATTTCTTTGAAGAAATATTTCTCCATGATTTCTTTGTAGCCACTGAATACTTTTTAGCTTTCTTTTTGCGCCAAATGCATGCAGCTACTACGTATCGCATTCTTAATATGAACAAATGAACTATGTCTTGACTAGAGGGCTGTAGGGTGCAGGATTTTTATAACCTGTAACCTGCCCTGTAAATTTTTTGTAACCTGGTCCTACCCTGATCTGCTATTTTTAAAATAGAGGAATATCCAAAATTTCCTATCAGTACTTATAATACATTTAATTATTTGTACTTCAAAGTTGAATCAGATAAAAATAACGCTTAATTTTTTCAAGACTTCTAATTGAGAAATATCGAATAAACAAAACTAGCTACAATCTATCATAGCCCATCATTTTTTATATTATGAGTGCTTTAGTCTCGGTAAATTCAACTTTCTTCATGCATAATTTTTTTTAAAGATACCGAAAATGTCGGTTGTTCAAAATTAATCTCAGGTTAACAGGTTACGATATGAAAAGCCTGCAACCTGCCCTGTCCTGCCATGCCAGGGCAGGCCAGGCCAGGTTACGTGCACCCTGCAGGACTCTAGTCTTGGCCCAACAGAAAGAAAAAACATAGTTCGGTCGATGAAAAATAATAGAATAAAATGCGTTTACACGTGCATGAGACTATAAATAGTAGAAATTATAACTGATGCATATATAAGTTAGTGATGTAACGGGTGGTCCAGGAGAAAAGAGCCACTTTTTCTTCGCTACTTTTTATGTATTCGTTGTACTTTTTTTTTCCTAATTTTTATATCAATAAAATCAGCATGAAAATCTCTACAAATAGGTATAAAAATAATTGCAATATAATACAACAAATTTATTTTAGAGAATGAAAAGTAAAGATTTACAAAATATTGTACTTTCTAAATACAATTCTGGTGATCAACCTCGGAAAATATTCCGGGATCTAAGCGATGGTTTAGCTTGACGTACTGTACAACGCTGGTGTAAAATGATCAATGAAACTGGCGTTATCAATTTATCTAAGCCTCATGGAAGTATAAGAACTATAAGGACAAAAGCAGCTATACAGAGAGCGAAGTCCATATTGAAACGGAAAAGAAAGGTTTCTCAAAGAGGGTGAGGGTGTGGGTGTCTGAGAGAAACTAAATATACAATAGTAAACAGGCATAGAACAGTGGCCACGATGCGTTCCCCTCTTACTGAAGGGTTTGATCAATTAGATTTTGGAGAATCAAGATTGTTTACTAATTGAATCTTTTCAAATGTCAGTGCTAAGACAAAACCAAAAAAAAAGAGGAATCAATGAATCAGAGTGGCCCGCTATGTTCTCAATGTAAAGAAAGTTCATAAATAGTTGAGTTTCTCAAGTAAGATTAGCTAAACTCGAAATAACCGTAGCATCTCAGATTTTTCTAAAAACATAAATATAAGTATCGATAGAGCTCTGCGAGTTGAGCATGAGGATGTTCTTAGAATCCTCAAAATGATATTATTGAGTAAGGAGGTAGGGGGTGAAAGGATTTGAATGTCTCTCCGTTGGCCATGTGAATCCACATACCCACAACTTCGAAAATACATGCGAATTGCATGAAATCAAAGGTGTTTTTCTCTTTTTTCCTATCAAAGCAATGTGTATCTTTATTATAGCACGAAGGATATTTGGAGAAAAAGACACACAAGTGGTTACCGCGGTTGAAAACAGTCTCTTGTTTCTACAATAGCTATTAGAAATAAATATTAGATCGGATTGAGCCACCTCAACGCATCGGTAGGTAATGAATTTCAAACATTTTTCAGACACACACGCAGGTAAATAATTTATTTTACGATAGCAGGCAATAGTCTTTCTGTCTTAAAAACAGAAGTTCACACGAGTGTCAACGAATTGTCATCTATATATGCAGTAATTTTGGTACCAGAGTTGCGAGTAAATATCATCTTGTAGTCAATACTTCGTGTGCCTACAGGAAGACTATAAAGATTATTGTAATAACACCAACCTGGATTGTTGGAGCTACAAATTTGATACCCTGTATCTTGTGTACCCAATACCGCATTTGTATTCGAAAGAAATGTGATTGTTACTTCAGCGTCATCGTATGGATACAACCAACTGTAGTAAGATTGGTAATAAAATGATATTTTAGCATGTAATGTTCCGGTATCAAGCTGTGCTGCCGAAAAGTTTTGCATTCCATTAAGCAAATTGACATTTTGCAACAGACTTGATGGAGATCCACCCAATCCAAAACCACCTGCAAAGCAGGCACTGCCGGTGTGTGGATTGTAGCCAGCAAATTCCAGACCACCCGTATCTTGAAGTACGTTAGATGAACCAGTTTGTGTCCAACCAGCTAGACCCGGTGATTCAGCACCAGGATCAACGAGAAGATTTAGTGGAACCATTGTTGTTGTAGCTATATTACATGAAATAATCAAAGGTAAAACAGTCCCCACTTTTAAAAGGGTGTGGGTGTGGGTGTGGGGACGTGGGCTGTGTGTTGTGTAATGTTGATATCAGTGTAAGAGTGCCTATTTTTATTAGGGATCCCCACACCCCAAATTTATGCATTATCGGTCGAAAAACTACTCGAATCTCCTGTAATCAGCAATCGGATATGGCGTTTGCATTCCTCCTGTCAAGAGTTTACCATTTTCGGGTGTTCTCCGACTGGAAAGAGTATCTGTCCCGTAAAATCCCACCGAAAATTCACGGATCCCAGTGACGGACTCATCTGCCTGGGTATTATGTCTGTATGAAGTAGACGGAAGTTGGAGAACTATAGTTTTCCAAATATTTAAAATTTGATTTCTTAGAAACTAGTATTCAAAGCGCTAGCAGTGAAAACTTTGTCGTACTGTATGTTGTCGTTGTTGTTGTTGTGGTTGTTGCTGATGTGGTTGTTGTTGTTGTGGTTGACGTCGTTGTTGTTGTTGTTGTGGTTGTTGCTGTCGCCGCTAAAAGTATCGGTTTTTAAAAAACGCTATTAGGTTATTTCAATAGTTTTATTCGCTCTATGACGGTTTTTGGAATACTGAAATGGATTTTATTTTCATTATTTGCCAGAGCGTTATTGTTTCTACTGAACTGTTTAGTTTTCAATAGTCTGTTTTTACATTCTGGAGAAAATTAAGCTATAACTTTAGAAATAGTTAAAGCAATCAGGTTTTTGTAACTTTATACCAATTGATATAGAAATCATTTTTTCTATCACTTGTTTCACGTATCCGAAAAATCTGACATGCACCATCATCCTGCATCAGAGTTGAGGTCATCTCATATTGGTGACACGCTATCTGCTGGGAGGAATGCATCTCTAAATTTCAGCATACACTCTAAAAAAAATAGGTTTTTCACAGAACCTAAAAGAGGTTCTTATCTTCGGTACACCGTCAGATCCTTTTTTTGGTTTTGTAAAAGTGAGGCTTCGTATCAACCCCCTTCACGAAAATTCAAAAAAAGGGTTTCGTAGCAATGGTTTCGTACCCGCCAAAGGTTCCGTTAAAAATATCATTTAACCCTCTGCTGCCGCCTGCGGTATGCACACTATTCGAATATTTCTCAAAACCCGAGTATGGTATACATCAAATGAATCAAAGGTAAGATGAAATAGTCTACAGAGTAATTTTCTGCATTCAAGGAAAATCATTCGAAAGACTATTTCATCTTACTTTTGATTCATTTGATGTATACCATACTCGGGTTTTGAGAAATACTCGAATAGTGTGCATACTGCGGGCGACAGCACAGGGTTAAAGCCAAAGCCACCCGTGATTTCCACAATTGAAACAACCTAAAATACGGAAACGAATAAATATAATCATTTTATAAGATCAAACTTACTTCACTATACTTTTACTTGAAACAACCTAAAATACGGAAACAAATAAATATAATCACTTTATAAGATCAAACTTACTTCACTATTCTTTTACTTGAAACAATCTGAAATACACAAATTAGCGAAAATTTATTATTTCTCAAAATCAGACTTACTGAAAACTCCATATTTATATTAACCTAGAATTACAAAAAAGAATAATTCTTTGATTTGCGAAGAGAGAACTTACCTAAAACTGCGTTTAAGCATCAACCTAGAACCAAAAACAAAACAAATATATAAAATTATACTTGATCAAACTCACCTGAAATTGCATCTTTGCGGCCGTCTATAATTAAACAAAACCAATTTTTGTTATTTTACGAAATGAAATTTACCTGAAACCTTCTATATAAGCGACTCAATAACGAAGAGAAAAATTATTCTCTTTCATTGCATCAAATTTACCCCAGATTTTAGATCAGAGTTGAAATAAAACGTCTACCTTGTGAAATTTGGACTCCAGATCGACCGATTTTCTCAACCATGAAAACTCGGAGAGAAAAACTGACAACGAATTTGGACTCAGGGACCCCGATAAGCTATAGGAAAGTTTGATCAGAATGTCGATCAGAGTTGAAATAAAAAGTCTACCATATGAAATTTGGTCACCAGATCGACCAATTTTATCCACCATGAGAGCTCGGAGAGAAAAACTGATTAAGGATTTGGACTCAGGGACCCCGATAAGCTATAGGAAAGTTTGATATGTATGATAAGCTTGTGAAAAGTGTATTGCAAAAACTAAGAAACCTTGAGATAGCCGACGAAACGGGCCCTGGTTTGGTCGGTATTTTAGAAAACCTTAAAGCACACTAGAAAGGGTGAAATAGTTGGGTAGAAATAATACGAAAATTTTGGATCGTGAACAAAAATATCAGTCGGTTTGTGGAAAAGATTCCAAATCTCGAGAGTGTTTACGAAACTTTCAATGGTTTGGTACAAAATATACGAAACTTTGGCATGGATAATAAATTGGTAATCGTTCAGCTCAAAAAGTACAAAACCCTCGAATGTTCTAGAAACCAGCAATTGTTTTCCAGAAAATATTCCGAACCTTTTTACAGTTTAGGGAACCATCAATGGTTCCGTGGTCATGTTACGAAACCTTAATGCGGACCAGAAAGTGTCGAGAAGTTCCGCATATATAATACGTAACCTTCGGATCGTCCGCGAAAGCAACAATGGTTCCGTGGACATATTGCGAAACCTTAAAGCCGACTAGCAAGTGTGGAAAAGTTCCGCACAAAAAATACGTAACCTTCGGTTCGTCCACGATGCAAACAGTGGTTCCGTGGGTATATGACCAAACCTTCTGCCATTTCCCAAAACTATCAGAGGATTTGCACATGACGTACGAAACCACAAACCACTTTACGGAACCTTCGAAGAGTTCAGGCGAAAATTGCGAAACCTGATGAAATCTGCTGAACTTAAAATAGTTCTGAAAGGAGATCACGGAACGTTTTTCACTCTACGGAACTTAAAATCGTTCGGTAGAGAAATGCGGAACTATTAAGGTTCGGTAGAGTGCCGATTTTTTTTAGAGTGTATTTCATGGTACTGTTGAATTAAATAAAATCTGAGACAATTAATAAATATTCTGTCAAAGCAAAATATAAAAACAACTCTCGTATAACATGCAGAGAGTGTAGGTGCGAATGCTTGACGAAAGTAGACTGACGCGTTGAGCACTCCTCCTATCCACACCCACACCAGCAAGCAGGGAGGGCCGAAAACGTAGACATTCATTGAAAGATGAAGAGAATGATGCTTTGCATTTATACTACAGTTATAAATAAATATTAATTTCTTTTTTTTGAATAAAAATTGATATTCGTAATGGAGAGTGTATGTCAGGAATTGACAGAATAAAAACTAACACTAGAGTAAAGAATAGTAAACAGAAGAGCAAACTTGATTGCTTAAATTCGTCGAAACATTTGGTATGCATCATTCTAGGCTGCAAGACTAGTGTATCCCTTCCCATTCTCGCACAAGTGAGCAAACGTGGATATACTTACGAAAACCCTGTCTTTTTCCTCACGCCCAAGATTGTAAACAAATTGCTTTATCAGAGATCGTAAAGAAAGTGAAGCGAAATGGCACATTCTATGTTTTGTCTAGCGGCAATGACTACAGATCTGTATCTTGTTTGAATCAAATATTATTCAAAAAGCAACCGTTGGCCTTATATTTTGGAACGGATAGTAGTATGTCGACTTCTTCTCATGACACACACACAGACAGTGATTAACGGAATAAAACAAATTCTACAGAATTTACGCTCAATAATAAAAAATTCCTTGCCAATAGACAATCTATCCGTGAATCAAGTTGTTCACCTGTAGATTGACGTGCATTAAAAATCTCACTTAGAAATATATACTTCCTTCAAAATTCGACAACAGTCAAATTTGAGTGTGGATGTGGGTGCGAGTAAAGATGAAGAACACCACCCACACCCACACCCAAAAATATATGTATGCAGACTTACTTGTTGCTGCTGTAAGTGAGTATCCAAAATACAACACAAGCGTAGCAACAAGTGATCCAAGTAGAATAATGCCGATCATGCTGAAGTATGTGCATAGTGGCAAACATGGCCAACCAACGTTCGGACAACATCTTAAATGAGATTAACCGATACAATCATCGACATAACATATACTCACTTTCTTTTTTGCATTTGTCGATGTTTTGGCAAAATCTGACGTGGTGGTGAAGCCCCAGTGATGGCGGGGGATGGGGGGTTGCCCCTTATTAATTCAGTAGCCCCTTCCGCTCCTGCCCTCCCTCCCCGAGCTAACGGATTATTCTCATAGTCAACGACCTTTGCCATCGCCTCCTCACCACGCTTCAGTGGAAAATTTTTCTATAAACACAGAGAAAAGAAACGTGCGCACGACATCGTTATGGTCACTCACCTGTGGCAGGTGGCGACGGCTTGAAACTTTCTTGAGACTGATGTGGGCAGGCGACACCGTTGATTTATTTGTCGGGCGTTGAACCAACGATAATTTCAGCTCTTTACTCGCCAACTAAAATGAAGCTATAAATTCTAACGAAACTATGAAAAGAAGGGGAGTGTATTTGGATAGGTTATGGTTTCGCCTTGGTTTTGCAGTAAAACCTCCAATATCATATATTAGTCGAAAGCACACATGGAGATAAACATTGTTTATCACAGAACTTGGTGTGCAGAGTGCAACTATAAAAATTTACAATGGGCTTAACTTTGGAGATTTTGACCGTATTGGTTTTTGCTATGTGTGACAGTGTGATGCCCAATGTTCTCAGAAAACAGAAGCCAAATTAGATCATTTTTTATCTCACTTAAAAGAGTACACCTTGTTCTAATGCCTGTAGAAATGTCACTTTATTTTATACAAGCGTTCTGAAGTTATACTCTGACTAAGAAGTCAAATACGAGCCCGAATTAATTACATTTATGTACTATTGTTCTACTATTTCGAGAACGGGAACAGAAAACATCACCAATTTTTTACTGAAAGCAACCTTTTA